TTTAAAGCCAGCCTGATAAGAAAAGTGGAAATAGTTTACAGTTCTCACTACTGGCTCCATATAGTAAACATAAAATACAGTATATACAATATATCCTATGTATCCGACTACAAAAAAAAGTTTTTTGTAGCCTTGCGTGTAATGAATACAGTTAGGTCCATATATATTTGGACACAGGCACAATTTTATTTTTTTTCAGGTATTTTCCAAAACATATTCAAGCTATAGTTATATAATGGATATGGGCTGAGAGTGCACACTCTCAGGTTTAATTTTAGGGTGTGTACATCCAAATTGGAGGAAGGGTTTATAAATTACAGTTCTTAAGAATAGCCATCCCCCTTTTTCAATGGACCAAAAGTAATTGAACAATTGAATATAATCATAAATAAAATGTTCAATTTTAATATTTTGTTGAGAATCCTTTACTGGCAATGACTGCCTGAAGTCTGGAACCCATGGACATTACCAAAGACTGAGTTTCCTCCTTTTTGATGCTTTGCCAAGCTCTAACTGCAGCTGTCTTCAGTTGTTCTTTGTTGTTCTTTCTGCTTTTAGTTTTGCATTCAGCGTGTGAAATGCAAGCTCAATTGGGTTGAGTTCAGGTGATTGACTCGGCCATTCAGCCATTCCTTCAAAAGCTTCTGGGTTGCTTTTGCAGTGTGTTTTGGATCATTGTCCATCTATACTGTGAAGCGCCGTCCAATCAATTTTGCTGCATTTGGCTAAATCTCTAAACACTGCAGAATCCGGGAGCCCACCCCAGACAGACGGAGTTTCCTCCTTTTTAATGCTTTGCCAAGCTCTAACTGCAGCTGTCTTCAGTTGTTCTTTGTTGTTCTTTCTGCTTTTAGTTTTGCATTCAGCGAGTGAAATGCATGCTCAATTGGGTTGAGTTCAGGTGATTGACTCGGCCATTCAGCCATTCCTTCAAAAGCTTCTGGGTTGCTTTTGCAGTGTGTTTGGGATCATTGTCCATCTATACTGTGAAGCGCTGTCCAATCAATTTTGCTGCATTTGGCTAAATCTCTAAACACTGCAGAATCAGGGAGCCCACCCCAGACAGACTGGCAACAAGCCCTACCCTGAATACACAAAGTCCATTACGCATGTGGTCTATCAGGTGTTTGCTTTCACTTGTATAATCTGTCCATCATAAGACAAAACCATACAATATTCCAACAGTTTGAAAAATTGGAATTCATTTATCTTCATAGATTACTTGAGGGAGAGTGTTGATAAATATTTCTGTCCCAAATAGAGGAGCTTCTCCAACCCAGTCTGCATGAGGGCCACCATATTTCCCCTTACCATTAACCTGTGCAAGATTATTATTACACCTATCCATGCAATTCAGAAGGGAAGATTTATTGTTTTTATGCAGATAATTAATCCAAGTCTTGCTCTCAGTGTTCATCATGCTGTTGTCCATCATTAGAGAATGATCTTCTCTCTGCATGGGCCATAATCAGTGGGTAGAGGGCTAGCCCCTGGTCCGCTCCAAAAGTCCCTGTCCCCATTGGGTCTGTCACAATTTTCATCAGCAAATTCTTGAATATGGTCTCTTATCATTCCTTCCCATAGTTTACTTACTACTGATGTTAGGCTGACTGGTCTGTAGTTTCCAAGTATATATCTTGGCTCTTTTTTAAATATTGGTACCACATTTGTCTTTGCCAGTTATCTGGTATCCAGTCAGTAAGCTTTCCCTAAAAATTAGAAATAATGGTCTGGCTATCACATGACTGAGTGTTTGAGATCTCTTGGGTGCAAGCCATCTGGTCCTGGTGAATTATTAGCATCCATTTTTCTAGTCTTTTTTTGAACACTGGTCTCCACCAGCCACATGAGTACAATCAATTTACTGTTATTAACAACACTGTCCTGTATATTATACCCCTCCTTTTCCGTTATACTCCCTCCTTTTTCAGCATACACCTTGTTGGACTTAATCCTTAGTAATCCAGAACATTTTCTAAAGTGGCTGAATTCATGATGTTCAGCTTTAAAGAGTCACTGTCACGTTGCACATTCAAGAAAACGTGGCTTTGCAAAGGGCCCACCAAACCTTCCAATATCCAACTTGCAAGTGGTGATCCTTCTTCTACCACAGCTGGCAAAAATACCCAATGCTTCTGGTCATGGAAGAGCTTGTGGCCCATTGCTTGGGTCTAGCAGGCAATAACTTAACCTAAACACTGTCACATGACCGAGGGATTGACATCACCACTGCCCTTAACATCCAACACCAGCAGAAACTAGGGACGTTAGCACTGGCTGAAATAAATGCAGATGTAGTGAGGTAGTGCTGGCAAAGTGACTATCAGGGGTTCTGAGGGGATGAATGTGTTTAAATATATTCTACATGAGAAAAACCACATGAATTGGAGACTCCATGCTGGGGGCATAGTAGCTAGAATAACGATGAGTAGCTAGAATGATGATGTTGAATGAGGTGGAGTGGTAGGGCAGTGAAGTCGTGATCTCCATCTCATCCAGTCAGAATGTAAGGCATTCTCTGAATGACAACTATGCCAAGCAAGTGATCCCCTGTGGTTACCATGTAGCAGGGCAGATGCTTGGCAAGAGACTTGGAAGACAGTGGGGATTACTATAGTAGAGGCAGCTACTACAGTGATTCTCTGTTTCCACAGGTATCAGCCAGGTATGGGACATGTTTATATATGCATTGATCCAAGCTACACCAATGTATCTATGCAAAAAAAAACACCTGAAATTCAGCTTTAAAGGATACTGTAAAAAACAAACCTTAGCTGTGAAAAGAGGGTATTATGTTGTTCATGTTCATACCTTTGTCCATGTGAACAGATATTTGCACACTAGCAGGAATATCCAATATACAAGTTGCTGATGCTTGGAGTGGTGATTCCAAAGATAAACACTTGCACATACAATGCCTTTATTTCTACAACAGTGTATGGGTTTCTTTTTGAACTGTAACTTTGCTTGGCACATGAGCATTTCATTGGTTAGCAAGTCGGTCATATTAGATTTTAGTTTATTTTTACAGTATCAGCTTAGTAGTTAGCAAACTTAGCAAGCCTTGAAGAGGCAAAATACTGTAACTTAGTAACCATTGAGATACTAGCTGAATTTTCATTTTGTATCATATTATCTAACAAAACCCATCTTAGCAACATGCATTATCATAAGATTATTGTACAACTCTAGCCAGAACATTTGACAGCTAAACAAAAATCTCATAGGTCATGTTGACATGATTTAGTGCCCTGCTCCTATGTCCTCTCTTCAGCTTAGCAACTAAGAAGATCAGCTCCATGTTGGTAACTGCAGTGTGTGGTGGGTAATATTGCAGTGGTCAGTAGAGGTAATACTTTGCAACATAGTCTCCCTAGCAATTTTCATATTCCCATTCCAAAGGAGAATTAGAAAACACTTAAAAATAGTAGCACAGTTTCACCAGTAATGCCTAGTTGTATAATGATTATGATTTATTCACAGCATTCGGCCATTTTTGAAATGAGTAGCCCGTTGGTAGCTTGGGTCTGCACGCTATCTTAATGAATATTACAGTACCCAGAAAATCTGTAACATTGCATTAATCAAAAAGTGTCCACATTGATTATGGTCAAGCTGCAGTCTCCTAAATGCCACTCTTCTTGTTTGGTGGCCCAGTGGGACAACAGGGAGATGGCGAGGGTGGAAAGAGCCAAGCTTGAGTGCCTCAATTAGTGATCAATCTGGTTACTCCTACTGGAGGTACCTGTACTATCATCCCCATGCTGCTTTGATGTTAAAACACCCACAGGGTAACTTTAATTGTAACAGGAGTACTCAGATAAAATCTGAATATTATCCCTTCCAGGCAGTTATGTTTAAGGCTATGTCACCTATATGTTCATACAGTGACTTCTACACAGTATAAAAATGTTTCTGGACATTTCTGTCAAACGCTGCCAACTATGATCTATACTCCGAGTATATGTGGAATTCAATGAATGACAGACAGAAAACAATGAATTGTATATTTCACTGCATTGCTGCCACTTTTAAACTTTCACTTTGTGGAAGTGACTCATGTAATAAGCATGACGGATGCGGATTACTCAGAACTCAGAAATCCACAAGAGAAGTGGATGCCACAATGCTCTGGTTCCTCTCCAGTATTAAATAATGTTACACACAGAACAGGTGTAAGCCGTTACTGAAAGTTTTTCTTTGAGAAAAAAAATAACAGGGTATAATTAAAATGTAACATTACATGCCAATTCTGGTATAATTCATAAAATGCTACGGCATGCCTGTGGATTACTCACTGTGGACACACCTAAGTTTCAGGCTGAATAGTTTTAATAGTCACTAAATCAATTTATTTTGCAAAGCAGCTGCCTGTGTTAGGTGAAAGTGACAGATGTGATTTACAAAGTAAAGAAGTATTGGTTTGTACCGCAATTAAGGTTTTCTTGTTTTACTACATTAACCCTACATACCGTATTTTCCGGCGTATAAGACGACTGGGCGTATAAGACAACCCCCTACTTTTCCTGTTAAAATATAGGGTTTGGGCTATACTCGCTGTATAAGACTACCCCTCTTCCAACGCACACCAAATAAACCAAAAAATTAAAAAAACATCAATTTGTTTTCAATATGGTATGGTATTCCAATGATGGGGCACGATTACTCGCTCTGACACCAATGATGGGGCACGATTACTCGCTCTGACACCAATGATGGGGCACTATTCCTCCCACTGACACCAATGATGGGGCACTATTCCTCCCACTGACACCAATGATGGGGCACTATTCCTCCCACTGACACCAATGATGGGGCACTATTCCTATTGACACCTCCCATCTGACACCATGTGTGAGGAGGTCCCATCATTATTCCTCCCATTGTGCCCACCATTATGATGGTGCCCCATCATTAGTGCCCCATCATTAGTGTCAGTGAGGAATAGTGTCCCATCATTAGTGTCAGTGGGAGGAATAGTGCCCCATCATTGGGGTTAGAGCGAGGAATCGTGCCCCATCATTGGTGTCAGTGGGAGGAATAGCGCCGCATCATTGGTGTCAGTGGGAGGAATCGTGCCCCATCATTGGTGTCAGAGCAAAGAATCGTGCCCCATCATTGGTGTCAGTGGGAGGAATAGCACCCCATCATTGGTGTCATTGGGAGGAATAGTGCCCCATCGTTGGTGTCAGTGGGGAGAGGAATAGTGCCCCATCGTTGGTATCAGTTGGAGGAATAGTGCTCTATAATTGGTGTCAGTGGGAGGAATAGTGCCCCATCGTTGGTGTCAGTGGGAGGAATAGTGCCCCATCATTGGAGTCAGTGGGAGGAATAATGCCCCATCATTAGTATCAGTGACACCAATGATGGGACACTATTCCTCCGACTGACACCAATGACACTTGCTGACCCCTGTTGCAGTATGGTGCTGCTGCAGCCAGCATATGTGGTTGCAGCAGCAGCTCTGCACTGCACACTTACCGGCTGCTCCCTCACTCGATTTTCGTGGGGGTCCGCTCAGCTCCGCCTCCTCGTCCGTGATTCTGGCGGCCAATCACCGGTGAGGAGGCGGAGCCGAGCGGCAGGAGTGAGGGAGTGGCCGGAGTGGCTGAAGGAGCAGCGCTTCCTGGACTGGATCGTCGTGGGATCCAGTTAAGAGACAGCAGCTTTCTGCCCAGCCCTGTACTTAGTGTCCCGTCGGAAGGGGGGGACAGCGGTGGCACCGTGCCACCCCCTTAAAAAGTGCCGCCCTGACGTATACCGGTGTATAAGATGACCCCCAACTTTTGAGAAGATTTTCAAGGGTCAAAAAGTTGTCTTATACGACGGAAAATACGGTAACTGCTGGTATGTAGAACTATTTTTTTACATTTTAGAACACAATTATCTGTTATTCCTTACTGCATACCATTTCTTCCCTTTACCTAAAGAAGATAGTAAATACAGAAATGTACAGGTAAACCATTACATTGGTCTTCAAGGCAATTTGCACTACTAACAACAAAAGTTTTGCTTTTATTGCTTGTTACAGTATTTAGTTGTTCTTTTGTAGTTTAATAAAAAAAGGCCCCAATTTTAACCTCAAGGAGGAAACGTATGAATTATACCCTAGTGGCATTACACCCTAGTTGGGCTCCATAAAAGCTTTCCCTCTAAGAACCTGTCCTTCTGATAGTAAGTACAAACACATATGGTGGGAAAGCCCAACTGCTTCTTTATTTTGGAAGGTAAATTAAAAAGTATTGTCAGATCTTCTTTTTTTTTTTTTTATAAAACAAGGCAATTATACTGGTCAGCACTGGAAAAAAAAATACCCAAGTAACCTGTCTCAATCGTAAAAGAAATGTTATCTTTTTATAGTAGTTGCTATATGGTACAGACCATTGAAAAACAATGGCTATGACCAGATCTACCTTTCACTATGGTCCACAAAAAAGCTAAGATATCTACACTGCTCCAAAAAATTAAAGGAACACTTTGAGAACATATCAAATCTCATTGGGGAAAAATATCATGCTGGCTATCTATACTGATATGGACTAGGTAATGTGTTAGGAACGTAACCATGACCCATCGTTTGGTGGAAATGAAAATGATCAACCTACAGAGGACTGAATTCAAAGACACCCCGAAAAACAAAGTGAAAAAATTATGAAGCAGGCTAGTTCATTTTGCAGAAATTTCATTGCAGCAACTCAAAATGCTACTCAGTAGTTCGTATGGCCCCCACGTGCTTGCATGCATGCCTGACAACAGGGCATGCTCCTAATCAGACGACGGATGGTGTCTTGCAGGGGCAGACTGACAACTCATGGGGCCCCCGGGCAATAGGGGCTCATGGGGCCCCTGTGTCCTTGCCCAAACTCAAAAAAGCCTATGAAAAAGGTACCAGGGGCATCTCATGGGGCCCCCTACTGACCCCGGGCCCTCTGGCAGTGCCCAAGTTTCCAAATGGTCAGTGTGCCCCTGGTGTCTTGGGGTATTTTTTCTTCCAGATCTGGACCAGGGCATCACTGAGCTCCTGGACAGTCTGAGGTGCAACCTGGTGGTGTCGAATGGACCAAAACATGATAGCCCAGAGGTGTTCTATTGGATTTGGGTAAGGCGAGGGTGGGCCATTCAATGCTATCAATTCCTTCATCCTCACTGCTTGCATACTCTCACCACATGAGGTCGGGCAGTGTCGTGCACCAGGAGGAATCCAGGACTCACTGCACCAGTGTAGAGTCTGACAATGGGTCCAAAGATTTAATCCCAATACTTAATGGCAGTCAGGGTGCCATTGTCTAGCATGTAGAGGTCTTTGCGTCCCTCTATGGATATGCCTCCCCAGACCATCACTGACCCACCACCAAAATGGTCATGCTGAACAATGTTACAGGCAGCATAACATTCTCTACAGATTCTCCAGACCCTTTCATGTCTGTCACTTGTGCTCAGGGTGAACTTGCTCTCATCCGTGCAAAGCACAGGGCGCTAGTGGCAAACCTGCCAATTCTGGTGTTCAACGGCAAATGCCAGTCGAGCTCTATGGTGTCAGGCAGTGAGCACAGGGCCCACTAGAGGACGTAGGACCCTCAGGCCACCCTCATGAAGTCTGTTCTGAATGTTTGGTCAGAGACATTCACACCAGTGGCCTGCTGGAGGTCATTTTGTAGGGCTCTGGCAGTGCTCATCCTGTTCCTCCTTGCACAAAGGAGCAGATACCAGTCCTGCTGATGCATTAAGGACCCTCGACGGCCCTGTCCAGATCTCCTAGAGTAACTGTCTCTCTTAGAATCTCCTCCATGCTCTTGAGACTGTGCTGGGAGACACAGGAAGCCTTCTAGCAATGGCACGTCAATATGTGCCATCCTGGAGGATTTGGACTGCCTGTGCAACCTCTGTAGGGTCCAGGTATCGCCTCATGCTACCAGTAGTGACACTGACCCTAGCCAAATGCAAACTAGTGAAAAACAGTCAGAAAAGATGAGTAGGGAAAAAATGTCAGTGGCCTCCACCTGTAAAACCCTTCCCCTTTATTGGGGTCGTCTTATTGTTGCCCATCTAGTGCACCTGTTGTTAATTTCATTAACATCAAAGCAGCTGAAACTGATTAACAACCCCCTCTGCTACTTAACTGACCATATCAATATACCAGGATTTTAACTGACTTAGTGCTATACTCTGGATAAAATGTGTTCCTTTAATTTTTTTGAGCAGTGTATATACTGGAAATGAACAAATCCTTAACTCTTGATTAGATCTGACCACTCTAGAAGAGATGCCATGTGAACTATCTCCAAACATTTGCTAATTCCTCACTGAGGCTAGGTTCAAACTATTGGGTGTCGGAAACATATGTACAATTGCTCTTGTTCCCAACACGAGAGAGGAATGCACTGTTTCACAGGTGCTCGAGGGTGCCATGAACAATTAACCAACTACTGGCAAAATGGCCTTGTCTTCCCATGTGCAAAACCATATGGTGCGGCGTGATATTCCAAAAGGGTCCAGGACCTCTTTCCCTGTGTTTCTGCAGATAGGGCAGCCCATTGAAATGAATAGGCTGCCCTAAATGCAGAACCCAGCCTATACAAGTGATAACTGGCCTTGAAACCTGGGAAGCCCACATAAACTAAGTATCTACTGTAAATTCAGGGGGGATATAATATGCAATATATATAATGCATAGAAAATTGTTCTTCTTTATAATACGTTTTGAAAATCATAAGAGTTTTAAGATTGGATGAACCAAGAGTCTCTTATGATGACTACAATAAGTTGATGACTATTCTTCTAACAAGTTACATGCTAAGTGTATGTGTCAAACTAGGTTGTCTGTACTATATCGCCACTGTATAATCCAAAAGCAATAGAGATTAGTTATGGATTCATCAAAGATTAGTGTTTTTTTTTGTATTGACTATGTTTTAAATTGTAAATTGGTGACAAGCACATATGAACAACTCCTTTAATTAAACAAAATTAGACATACAACATATCTTAAAAACATCTCCATGCACATCAACTAAACCTTAAGTACTCCCTTTATTGTAACAAACACTAAGCCCACCTCTTTGGCAGCCGGGTGCCCTGGCAAAACCGGTCAGGATGGCTTTCTCCTTTATTTCTCCATGGCCTCTTACTGCAGTGTTTGCTTTGATGTCAACAATATGATAAGTATACTTTCCAACTCTACTACAGTATAATTTCACTGCTCTTATTTCTGCCACTCTTGAGGGACTTTGGTCGCATATACATGGACTGTCTCTTTCCCTATGTAATTGTTGTTACACATTATACTTCAATTGCCTATGAGATTTCCAGTTTGGATTAAGTTCTCCAGTTGATCAAGGATGCATGGGTGCGTGAGGGAGGTTATAGACATTTATTCCACCAATCCTCCTCTGGACGACGTCTCTGTATGTTAGGTGCTTGAGCAAGGTGAAGGACCTATATAGCTTGTCGGCTTTCTCCTTTGGTTCACGCCAAGCTTAGAGACTGTTCTGGGACAGTTCTAATATCCAGTCTCCATAGGGACACTCATATTAATACAACTTCAGCATAAGAGGGAGGTCTTGATGGAAGTGAATCCATTATATGATTTGGTGTCCTCCTCTGGACGACACATTGTTATTCTAAACATGGAGACCCAACTCATCACTACCTAGCTGTTTTCTCTGAATAGCATCCGTACATGAAATGGTAGTCTATGAAATCGAGTCCAATTGGATTTTTGAGACCTTCAGGAGTTTTAATCTAGTATGTTTAGCAGTTGTTGGAAACATAATGAATTTTCTACATGAGTTATTTAACATATGGCATCCAGAAGATCCAAATAAAGGGAGTACTTGAGGTTTAGTTAAGGTGCATGGAGATGTTTTTAAGATATGTTGTATGTCTATTTTTGTATAATTAAAGGAGTTGTCCATATGTTCTGGCCACCGATTTATAACTTATAACATAGTAAATACAAAAAACCCAATAATCTTAGTTGAGTCCATAACTAATCTCTATTGCTTTTGTATTATACTTGAATATGGATTAGGACCTCCCGGATTACTAGTATAAGGACCTTGAGGCATTTTGGATGTCTATTTATAACTATACGGCCACTGACAAATTATGTTCAGTTTCTTCATTCTGTCATTGTATAACCTACAGTATGTCTATATGAATCCATCTCCCTTTACTTCCTGGAACTCTGAGACTGGCTCCTGAACAC